AGATGAAATAGTGCTCTAGAACAGACTGTGGGGAGCTGGGTGGGGGGCAGGGCAGAGAGAGCAGCCCCCATTAGAGGGAGCTGCAGGCAAGAGGCTGGGCAGCCCCTGTGTTCTGTGAGGAGCTGCTGGCGGCGCTGGGGGATTATAAGGAATATAGGTAGTGAATTAGCTTGATTCAATCATTCCATGCTGTACACATATTTCATGGTATGATTAATACCTTATATACAGGTAAAATTACACTTTATCAATACCCAATAAAAAGTAATTAAAAAATAAAGACTGTAGCATGCACACATACACAGAAACCAAGAGAATTGTAGCTCCAGAGACCCAAAGGCAAAGAGATGGGTGGAAAGGAAACAGGAAAGGAAGAGCCAGGCTGGAGGAAGGAAAGAGCCGTGTGGACGAGAGAGGTCCCATGTGCTGAGACGGTACCTAAGGACTGCAGAACGGGAGGAATGAATTCCTGCAAAGCGCCCCCAGCCACCCCGACCACAGGAAGGGCAACTATGTTCTCAACCAGGACCTCGCGTTTCAGGAAAACTGGGTTCCTGAACTTAAGAGGTAAACATCGCAGAGCTGTCTTGTCTACAGTAACAACAACTCCTAAGCCACTTATTTCTGGAAAATTACAAGACAGTTCTAGGGAGAAGCCCCAAACCTTCAGATTTCTTGGTTTACAAAAAAAATAATAATAATAACCTTCCCACTGCTCACTCCAGATCCATTCCTCCTTTTCAAGGCTTAGGTCCAAGTCTCGGGACCAAAGGTGAAACCAGCCTTAGGAAAATCCAGATTTTTGTCTCAATCCTCATAATTTCCCCCAAGTGAACAGCAGATGGTAGCAAAGAGCTGGAAAGGGAGACAAGCCCTCAAAATAGCTCATAGTTGGACAGACAGAAGGTGATGCAGCCCAGCAAGTTTTGGGGGGCTGTGGATGCTCTCAGGCAGGGCTTGAGGTCAAAGGTCGGCTTGATGAGATGACTCCGTTTAGCTTGTTCTACTGAGCCAGGGTGTTTACAGGTTATTAGCAGTCACAGAGCATATTATCTTTGTTCCTACAGCCCTCCTATTTCTCATCTTGCCAGTTAGGGAACCAGGCTAAAAGCAGGATCTGCTCCAAGAAGATACAGTTATCTTCCTGGAGATGGTGAAGAAGAAGGGACGGTCAATTAGACTTCCAAAGCCATATCCTACTCTCCTCGGACCCCCTGCAGTGCTTATCACACCACACCACAGTTGTCTATCTTCCCCAATAGACAGTGATGCCCTGCGGAAGAATTGTGTCCTTTTGGTCTATCTCTGATTCCCTAGTACAAATCCCGGGCACGTAGCAGGTATTCAACAAATTGAGTGAATGTCTGAATCCTGGCAGGAAGCAGAGGGCACACATGGGTCCTTTAGGAAAGAGTACCAGTTTGGGAAGGAGCCTAGGCTGGGCTATGAATCCTAGCCCTGTTACTTACAGTTAGGGGCAAGATACCTACTGTGTCTGCACTTTGATTTGCTCCTCTGTAGAAGAAGGATTCTTGGACAGTTTATTTGTGATGGGAAAATACAGAAAACACGCCTAGCACAATATCTCGTACACAGAAAATAAAAAATAGTCACTAATATCTACTGTGGATATTATTACTGTTGCTGTTATTACAGCCCCTTTCTCAGGACCAGGCACCAGAGAAGAAGAGGGAGAATTACTAAGAGTAGGAAATAAAATGGAATCAAGACTTGGAATCAATTCCAACTGCCTCAGCTTGGTGTCTCCAAACAGCACAGCAATAGACCCAAAAGAAGTCTACAGTGGAATCAGCCAAGGCAAGTTAAGTGGTGTCCCAGTTTATTCTTTTGGAGGGAAGAGAAATGGCTACTTGGTATTTTCCATGTCAAATCTCCTAGTCCAGCTACCTGACAGATTTTGATAGTGACCAAGAGTACAAATAAGTCTGAATAACAGTCATGTGGATTTGACCAGGACTTCCATCATATACCTTGAAGCCAGGAATAGTGAGTGGTAGGAGTCTGGAGCCCTGGGATGCTGCCTACTTGGTTCCATTCAGAATGAGTGTATCTCAGAGACTTGAGTATTATTAGGAAGCTGTTTCCTGTGCCACAAGGGTCAGATCTGAGAATGGTATAAGTTTCCCGAATATTGGAACTACAAACTTCCCTCAAAACTTAGCGAGGAAAATAGTGCTTTTAGAGCAAGTGAAAAGGCATTAGTGTTCTCTGGCTTAGTGAGACCCCATGTGGCTGCACAGGGTAAAAGCAGCCTCAAAGAACATGGGAAAAAGCTTATGGAAAAACCAGGGCATAAGAGACAAATTAGTCTACTATAAGTAGACTCTGTGGAGCACAATGGTGTCCATCCTCCAACATGTTCTTGTAGTGACTACTCCTTGGGGACGTTTTATGCCAGAAGGCCTTATGATTTGCCAGAATGCCTGAGTTACAGGGTGCAAGCATAAGCTAAGAAGCAACAGAGCCTAGTGGGGCTTCCAGGCCATCTTCTAGTGAGCTCCAGGGCCCACGTGACTCTATGCCTATGCCAGTTACCAGGGGATGGCTGGATCTCCCAGAAAAAGCCCCAGAAACCCAGAGAAACAGGCAGGTAGCCAGTTTACAGGGCCTTTTGCAAAATATAGAGCACTGAAAGATGTCTCTCACAACCAGCCTAGAGGGCATAGGAATGGCCCTTTCCTTTTCTCTGCTACACAGTGGAGGGAAGGAATAATGTACGAGTCATTGGGAAGTCACAAATATACCAGCTTCCTTTCTAGCCTGTTTTGACCAGGTTGTTCGGTCCCTCTCTCTTGACCCAAAGGTTTCCAATGGTTTCTTTAATGCAGAGACCACAGCTCTCACACCAGCCTCTTCCCTCAATCTCACAACACCCTTAGTCCCTGGACCTCTGGCCCCTTCTGATATCTCCTATGGTTCTGAGAGGGGGGCAGACATAATGAGCCAGGGCACAGACCCCTCTCTGCGGGGGCCGAGTGCTTCATTCTCTCCTTCTCCCCGTGCTGCACACTGAGGCAGGGGAGGGCAAAGCATGAGAGAGCCACAGAGTGTAAAGGTGGGGTGGGGCTCCATGCAAACGCCACACCACTGAAACCGCCCCTACAAATTGACGAGGGGGGTGCAAGGTGAGAATGAGAGTAAGGAACCCCAGAACTCTGGGGAGGAGCAGGCTTAGTAAAAATAATGAGAATAATCAGCCACTGTACCCTCTGTTTGCTTCTTTGCCCTGGAGTCATGCATAGTTATCTATATAAGAACATCACCTGTTGGGAACCTACGGGTAGTTTTTGAGATATCTTTCAGGTTCTGCATTCTAATCAGATCCACCCAGACAGAGAAACTGACTCAAATGGTCTGGGACCCTCCACCCAAGGTCCTGCATTCCAGTACCTGTTCCACCTAGACCTAGAGACTAGCAGCTCTGCCCTGAAAGAAGCCAATTAACAGACACTGATTGGCTAATCTTTTGCTCACCAAACTGTCTTTAAAAACCCTGTCCCCCCAATTCTTGGGGAGGCAGATTTGAGAAATTGCTCCCTTCTCCCCACTTAGCGGTCTGCGCAATAAGCCTGTTCTCTGCCATCTCTAGACATCAGCTTTCTCTCGGACATTGGGCAGGTGAACCTGGCTGGGTAGCAGCACCCCCACCAAGTATCGAAAGCCCAGGCCCTAAGACAGGCAGACAGCAGCACCACGTTCGCCCAACAAAGGATGGTTTTGAAAAGCTCCCAGACACTTTGCAGGCCCCATCCATGCCTGGTGTGTGAAATTATCATGAAAAATCCCAGCCAAGCAGCAGCTCAAGATCCTGGTAGACACCCAAGAGGTTATGACTCTTAAGAACAGAAAGGAGAGGCTAGATTAGGGTTGGTATAGGCATGTGGTTTGCTGGCCTTACCTCCTTTCCAAAGCAGGTAGATGGGCACCACGTAGAGCATAACATGCTGAATGTAGTAGATCTCCAATTCAAAGGGGAGCTGTGAGGACAGGAGGGAGAGAGGTGTTTCAGAGCAGGAAGCATCATTCCAATAGATTGTGAAGGTGAAGGCTCTTGCTCTTTGGGACCCACATTTGAATAACCCCATGCATTTCACCTTTATAATCCCAGAGAAAAGAAGAAAATGAAGGTCCCTCTGACCTAGATCAGGATGTTCCATGGTGTATTTTGTACAGATGGGACTAGAAAAATGCTCCACTGACAAAGTTTGGTTAAAAATTTAAGAAACGTGGCATTTATCACCTTGCAGAATGTTACTGGCATGTTAAAGGACCTGAGTGGTCCCTATAGACAAGAAACCTACTCACCACTGTGTACCCAGAGTTTCCCAAATTTATTTAGTGACTGATACTTTTTATGTAACACTTAGTATTCTGCAGAATATACTTGAAGAATCACAACCTTATGTCACTTTCTGCTCCTGGCAAGTAGATGGTGGACTATTTAAGTTTATTTTTCATTTGACATGAAGAACATATGGAACAGAATTTATTATTCTCATTTTCTAGGCTTGATTGCTAGGTCTCGCAGGGTCTAGATCCAGAAATAAAGAGTTTCCCCATTGGATAATTTGCGGGTTAGTCCAGGGTTAGCCCTACTTTTGGGTGGAAACCAAGCAGCTGGGCCAATTCTGGTACAGCTTGCCAAAAAGAATGTCCCCACTCTCCCTGCATCCAACATATGTGCTCACTCACTCCTGTTTCCCATCTCTCTCAAAATGGAAGCTCTGGATTACCAAAGCAGAGCACCATTTTGACCTGGCATAGGGACTCTGCTATAGACCTTGGCAGCAGGCAGAGAATGGAAATGGCTAACTCAACTCTGGGGGAAAAAAATTTCAGCAGCTGGTAAGAAGCCTAGCCTCTGGGGCTTACACAACCCCTAACACACACATGATGCCCAGACAGACAAAGGGCACCAGGGGAAGGGCTCAGCTGCCTCCCTACAGTGCGAGTACGTAACAAAGACTGCGTGCTAATGAGAGGAGGCAGTTATGGGCTCCCCGGGCATCAGAGCCCAAGCCTGCCTAGTGCCAAGGGCTGAAACCGAAAAGATGGCAGAGTTCCCAGAATGGGAGCTGAGACAACTGTGGACCTTGGACACAGCCACTGGCTCTTTAAAATAAAGAGCTACACAGAAGAAAAATTTCCCAGGGACCCAAAGGATGCTCAACTATTACTTTATTCTCACCAAGGGGAACATAAAAACCCAGAAAAGGAGATGAGGTGGTCCTAGTATCTCTGTAGAGCATGTCGGAATAGCCTGTGAAATCTGACATGGAATATCACTAGCTTGAGGGAGCCAGGGAGGCCTGGGAGGTGCCGCTGCACCCTCCCAGTGGTGTGGTCTGGGACCACTCCGCTATCTTGGATTTGGGTTCTGCTCTATGCTTGTCAAATGTTTTCCTATCTATAGTCTACCCAATGTCTTAAAACCCCACAAAATGGACAGGTAAGGTATTATTTTCTCACTTGATAGATAAGGCAACCGAGGTGCAGAAGGGCTAACTGACGTCACTGAGGCCACGCAGAAAACAGGTAAGGAGGAAAAGGTTCCAAGGAGGCTCAGCTCTTTGGCGTGAATTAGAACTTTCAGGTACTTAAGGGACTCAAACTCACCCCGAAAGGGGCCTGGGAAGCCAGGATGCTTTCCACCCCGCAGCCACCTGACATCCCCACCAAGTTTCCTTCCTCTGAGGGCTGCCTCGCCCCTATTCCAAGAGTTCCCTTCCTGCCTCGGGAGGCCACAGGGAGGGTTAACCTAGGTGCAGGTACCACTGGCAAACAGAGCCAGGCAGGACAATGAGGAAATAGGATGAGGAGGAAGTGCGGGGAAAGAGGGAGAGGAAGGGAGGAAGCAGATGAGCGAGAAGAAACAGACAAGTGACAAGAAGAGAACTGAATGGGAGCGGAGAACCTACCACTTATTTAATAGCAAATGGCATCTCTCAAGTACTTACATACGCTGCACTGTGTTAAATGCTTTCACCTGTGTTATCGCACTCAACTGTAACGACCTTCCTGTGAAGCAGGAACTATGCCCATCCCCATGTGACAGAGAGGAAACTAAGGCACAGGGAAGTTAGGTACCATCCAAAGGAGAAGCAACAGGTACAGGGGCGGAGAGGAAAGGCATTTAGCAACAGGGAAGAAAAAAGGCAGCTCTTCTTCTTCTTTTTAAGAGACAGGGTCTCTCCATGTGGTGAGAGGCTGCAGTGTGGTGGCGACTCACAAGTGCAATCCTAGCGCACAGCCCTGAGCGTCTGGGCTCAAGCGATCCTCCTGCTTCAGCCTCCCAAGCAGCTGGAACTGCAGGCGTCTGCCACTGCGTCTGGCTAAGACAGTTCTTTACTGAGCACTGGATCTGGGCTGATTTCTGGGCACTTCCTCATGGAGCCACCTTGACCCTCTTTTCCCTGTTCTACAAACAGTATCTGTGAAATGCCACACTTCCCCTAGAAAAACCACTTGGTTAATTCAGTTCCATCCTGTAGAAATCACACCTGGCAATCCTAAAGTCCTAAGGCTATAGACAAAAAATCCTGCCTGGATGGAATCGGAAGTCAAAAGCAGTAAAAATGTCTTAAGTGGGACAGGTCATTAAACTTCCTTCTCACATCCAAGCTGACATCTCTTTTGGCAGCAGAAGAGCAGAGTGGTGAAATTCACCAGGCTTCTGGAGTTAGACTGCCTGAAATGAGGTGCGTGGGCTCTGTCACAGCATGATCTCCTGACCTACTTCTTCCCGGCCCACAACCCTGACAGCAGAACCACCATACCGTGCCATGGACATCAGTGATCTTACCATGCCCTGCAGTCACCAGAAGAAGCCCAAGACTCCTGGGTCACCCCTCAATACCTGAACCCTCCAATTCTCATATGGCTCTAAACATCTAATCTCCCCTCACCTCCTGCCCCTCTTCAATTCTTGAAACCCTTCCCTGCTTTTCTCTGCAATCCTCTGACCATCACTAGCAAAATCCTCTTACATTCTAAGACTCTTCTCTGAGCAGTTCCTGCCCCTCCTTGGTTTAATGAAAACTTGGTTCTCTCTCTAAAGACACTGCTCTGTTTTTCCTCCCCACCTGAGCCAGAGAAGTGCCCCTCTGCTCCTCGCTGCTGCCTCCAAATTGCTGTCTCTTCCAGAACATTCTGTCTGCCTTCTTGCTAACCGCTCTCCCAATCTGAATCTTATGTCATGAGACTGCTGCACACAGTATTTCTCCTTGTTACAGTCACTTGTGGACCCTGCCACTGGATATTCCTCGGTCCACGAAGGCTTTGCCTCTCTCCTCCCCGTGACTTCTTTCCAGCAATCCTTTGTCAACATTCACGGGTTGTCTGTCACTATTTAGCAACACCCTGGCCTCTCAATGCCTTGCCCTCTACCCTCGTCAAGATTTCCTTGCCATCCTAACTCTCCCCTTATTCCCTGGTCATACCTGTATTATCAATACCCGTGACCTCTCCATAACCTCTGTCATGCACCCTGCTCTCCAGCTACCACTTCCTATCTGTCCAACACTCACCTCCTCATACCACAACTCTCACGTTTTTTCTACTTCACCAGCACTGACAACTACTTTGATTCTACCACCTTTACACTACCCCTCACCAACCGCATGTCCTGACTTCTACTCACCAGCGTTGAGTTCAACGTCCCTCCCTCCTTCTGTACATTCTTAACTCTCCTGACACTCTCTCTTCCTTTTTCCTACTTACCCCACAAAACCATATTCCTGGTGAAATCCGGCTCTCTGCTTTCAGGTCCCTGTACCCCAGGCAAGCGAACATGGCTGGAGAAACATCTAAAGCCATGTTGCTAACCTTTAAATTCCTGACAGCAAACCTTGAGTGGGGGCCCTTCAGGGTGCCCTACATTCCAACTCTAATCCCTATGCCATTCACGTTCCTCTGTCCTAGACAACTATTTTACAGCTTCTGCTTTCCTCAAATATTTCCTCATCCTCCTTCTCAGCTGAGGAAGTGGCTTCCTAGTTCACTGGGGGTACAGAAGGATCCACTGGAAGGGAACAAGCACAAGCTCCTGCCACTACATCCCCCTTGTCCCTTCTTGTCTTCTCAAGGATGTCATACCCACAATCACCCTCATTTTTTTTTTTTTTTGGAGACAGAGTTTCTTTATGCCACCCTTGGTAGAGTGCCGTGGCATCACAGCTGACAGCAACCTCAAACTCTTGGGCTTAAGTGATTTTCTCGCCTCAGCCTCCCAAGTAGCTGGAACTACAGGCGCCTGCCACAACACACAGCTATTTTTTGTTGTAATTGTCATTGTTTTTTTAGCAGGCCTGAGCCAGGTTTGAACCAGTGTATGTGGCTGGTGCCCTAACCACTGAGCTATGGGCACTGGGCCCAACAATCACCTCTTTTTCTTTCTTT